TTAAGGTTTGAAACACAAGAAACAAATAAATACACTGTCTGCAAACAAAATTTTAGAAAGATGTGTTCACTGTTCATATTCTGAACTCCTCTCCGGACCGGCAGCATAGTTTACAAACGGCGGTAAAGGAAATGGTTGAATTTCGATTCGGGCTTTGCGCGCGATTCGGACTTCGGCAGTGCCGGAAAGAGAGCAGGGACTTGTGACGTCACTGCAGTTGGCTAAACCGGTGTTGGCAACAGCTGTACAAATCAGCTAACCAACCGTCTGTATTAATAACCGAAGGATAAGTGATGAAATCTTTTCCTCATATCGCACACCCTCGAAAAAGATTGCGACGATGCACAGCCGATGAAGGAATAATATGATTGGTTGGCGATGCAGGCATATGAAAATCGGTAATATCACTGAAAATGAATATTTATTGAAATGAACCGTAGAATGCATTAGAGTGAATGGTGTGTCTTCCGAAAAAGGTTTGAAGAGAACAACGCACTGCTCTGAATTTTGATCTGGGATGGTAGCGCATCAATTTCACCTCTGGAGGCAGCTGCTTCCCAGACACTGGACACAGCTCAAGAACTCTACGCTGGTGCGTACAGTATCCATGAGCATAACAGATGAGAAATGCTTAGCAGTGTTAGAATACTACGCCATCCAGTGTTACTGCAGTACCGAAAGAGGCTGAAGCAGGAGAGGGATTCTGGAGGCCGTCAGCAGGATATACGAAACCGGCCGCACTGTCAACTCGGTCTGAGGCTGAGAAGTCACAACTGTGATGGTTTCGGCAGCTTTGCACATGCCTCCATAATGAAGGCGAAACAAGTACCACTTGGTCCATAGAGGGTCCAAGTCCTATGGGACAATTAATTCATCTTTTCTTCCCCTGAAACTCAGAAGCTGATACAGGATCAGGATAGTCGAAACTCTATCCGATGCTGTGCTCCTATGATTCGAAACGATATGCCATCATCAGAATTGACAGACTAACGATCAACTCCGCTAGGGTACCACTACAGCTAAATTAGAGCATAAAGAATCAAATTGGCTAATCATTTTGTTTAATCAGTTTCTTGTCTTTATCAATAAAAAAGCGTTTAAAAACAATTCACGTCTAATCATAATCGGTTCTGCGAAGTTCATCCAAAACACTAACACGATTATAATAAGGCACACGATCGAAATGGAAGAGACAATACACAAAATCAGATCAGTCTTAAAGGTAG